TCTGGAATACAACATTGTGGTTGAGGTTCTTTCATTCAGCCAATATGGTTTAGAATGAAGATACAAAGCACTTCATTAGTATGCAGCTATTCTTCCCTATTTTAAAAACTTTGAATCAATTTCTAAATGTGTGATCCTCATTTTCCAGCTTCTCTGAGACTTCCTTTTCTCCTTTCTAAAATCAGAATAATAGCGTTTTTCTAACACAATGCTTAAGTGATGATTCTTATTTCTTTACTTTTATAAGTAAAAAGGCACAGAAAGAATAATGCACATAAAATAATAAATTTTGATGTATGTGTTTGGATGTTGTATTTTGCATGACTGCTTTTTCCCCAAGTTTTGTTAAAGGGCATTATGTCTATGTATGCCCAGGCAGTAACACACACACACACACACACACACACACACACAGAGAGAGAGAGAGAGAGAGAGAGAGAGAGAGAGAGAGAGAGAGAGAGAGAATAACAATGCCATTCACTGAATTTAAATCTATCTCATTTTTTCCTTAGTATAAATTGTATATTGACATTCGTATATATATTTGAGCTGGAGCAGATGTACAGACATGTTTATTTCCTTACAAATTTTCCACCTGTGGGTTAATCTAACTGCCTGTGGTCCCTCGAAGACAGTGCCCTTTCCATGAATTTCTGTGCTGATTGCCCAACTGGAATATTTCATATTTCTGTTTGCCTACCCTTCAAAGCCAGAATATGCTTTCTTTCCAACATGATTACCTAGAGTGGAAATTTCTGTCTTTGATTTTCCCATACATATTGTGCATCACACAATGTGGTAGATGTGCAAGGTGTAGTCATATTGTCTTTACTGGTTGTAGGCTCTTGAGTAGATGGTTCAATTTTACACATAAATATCTACATGTGATAACCAGTCCAACATTTTGGATATGGAAGATAATTCAAAAAATGAATAAATGAAATTGTGCAAGGCTGTGAAATGTAATTTAACCACTGTATATTAAAATAAACTAATTTTCAGAGAGAGTTTATAAAGTATTCTTATTTTTCTCAAAGTTAACAATGTATATTAAGATATGAACTTGGACTGTAAGAATTTTTTTGTTGATTTTTTTTCTTTAATTATGCTGTGTTTTCACTATGTCCAAAGTCAATATGCCTTTTCTTGTACCAGGACTTGAACTCAGAACCTTGCAATTGTCACGCAGGAGTTTACACTTCTGAGCAATATTACTGGCCCCAACCTGCACTTTATATTTTATGTGTCACATTGTTTTCATTGAAATATAAATCTAAATTACCAAAATGTAGTGTTTAAGTAAAAATATGAAAAACCAAATTCGGTTTTTTATGGTTGGAAGTTGGTTATTAACGGTTCTATCTAGGATAAACTGAAAAAAAAAAAAAACAAAAACTAAAAATTGCTCGAATTAGATTTACAGGTATAAAAAAGCATTTAAACTAATAACACACATTTGTTTAATAAGTGATCATTTTCTATTTTTAATCTTTCTCAAAAATCTTTGAAAACTGTATCAGATCTGCATAGATGTATAAACATGAAAATGGGTATTAAAATATTTCTCATCTCTTTCCAGTAACTTATGTAAGGCAAAAACTGAAGATTTTGTATAATTCATACATTTTTTGAAATAAATTGAACTACTTTTTATATATTGAAAGTTTTACTTTTAGTAATTGTCTTCAATTATAACATGATAAACTGAGAGATTTTATTTGGAGTTCACTGTAGACTTGTGTATATTTATAAAAACGTAATAGTGAATGATGCCTTAGTTCACACTAATAGTTACAATTTACAAAACTATATTACAAGATGACAAGCCATCCAATTGCTATTTGTATAGTTATGATGAAGAATATACCTGTCTCTACCAAGAGATATATTGTTCCAGAAAGTAAAAAGCCACTTCTATGTATTTTCTTTCTCTTCCCATCAAAACTACTCATCTATTACCCATTTATACAATGTTCTCATTTCATGAACATTATATAAAAGGAATTACACAGTCAATCAGATTTTGGGATTGACTTTTTAAACCTGATCCAATCTTGGAGATTCATGAAAGTCCTTGCATAAATGAGAAATGTATTTATTTTTATTTCTGTATTGTATTCTATTGTACAAGTGTACCACAGTTGAACCATTTATTCATTGAAGAGCAACTGTTTTATATCAAATTTTGGTTATTAAAAATATGGCTTTTAAGGAAGCTTCACAGTGATTTCCACATTGATTTCACTAGTCTACATCCTACCAACAGTGGAGATTTCCTTTTTCCCCCGAAGCCTCTCCAGCATTTGTGAGTTACTGATTTCTTGATAATAGCCATCCTTTGTAGAAACTGATTGCTTATATTGTTTGATCTGTCATGCATGCCTGTGTCTTATTATCTGAGCAACTATTTTCTAGATAACAATACACAATATAGTGATTATAGTTAAATCCCTATCACTTTGTTTTGAAATCCTATATGATTTTTACTGTTTTGTTCTATTTTTATTGTGTTGTATTAATCTATTTAAAATAAATATTAAAAATACAACCACTATAAATATTTGTATACAGATATAGGTGAACATGGAATTATTTATTAGGGATAAATATCTTGAATATAATTGCCAGGTTGGATGGTAGTTTCATGTTTATCTTCTTTAAAAAAAAAAAAACTACCAAAAAACCTTCTAGATATACTGCATCATATATTCCTGGTGTGCTTTCTATCTTTTGATGCTATCACTGTATCTGTATTTGTGTCTGTATCTATATCTATATCTATATCTGAATTTCTGTAACTGTGTATTTATCTTACTCTATCTATCTGTATCTCTAAATTTATCTCTCTATATATACCTATATCTATGTCTTTGTCTATGTCTATATATCTATCTTTTTTCTAATCTATCTATTTTAGACTTCTTTGTAGTATGTACATAGTGATTTTCCAGTGGTGTTAACTTGCTCTGATTTTATTCTAATGTGATGAAAAATTTTCATATGCTGGTTGATCATTTGTACAACCTCTCCTTTGAGATATTTATTAATTTCTGGGTCTAGATTCTGATTTTACAATTTCTTTGTTGTTGTTGTTGTTGTTACTGCTTTTACGTGTTCGGTTTTAAGCAGAATTTATTTTATAAACATTAATGCTTTATTAAGTAGATGAACTGAAAAGATATTTTGTTGGCCTGTAGATTGTATTTTCATTCTCAGAGTGAGATCTTTCACAGATCAATAGAATATTTTTTTCTGGTACAATTTAAGAACTCTTTCTCCAGTCTGAGATTCCAAAAATATTTTATGTCATTTTTACTAAGGTTTTATATTTATATTTTATGTTTAAATTCATGATGAATGTTTTATTTTAAACAGAAGGAGAATAGAAATATAAGGGGTTCAAAGCAGGCAAATAGGAGAGTAACAATAATTAATACATGGCATACTTTTATCTTCATAGTAGTTATTCAGACACAGGATAAGATATTGGGGTAAAATATTATCGAAACGTTAGCACAAACCTTCCATTTTAAAAAACTAAGAAAAACTAGCTGCATAAATGTCTTAACTATCTTTTGTATATTTTGAACCTTTTGTTGTATAAAGTGTGAAACTTAGGTCAACATGGCTTATTTATTTTGAATGTGAGTGTATGTGTTTTCCGTTTTTATTTGTTTGTTTTTAGAGTGTTGGTCTATGGATATTCATTCCTCCAGAATCTTTGATGAAGACTATTTTTCATTCACTGACCTACACTTGCAACTAAATTAATGGTAATTTTGTAGAAAGGTATTTCTGAACTCAATATTCTCTTTCTGTAATTTTTTTGTCTCTTTTGCTGCCAGTTTTAGTCATTGAAATCTGATTTAGTAAAAGTTCACTGTGTAAGAGAGAAATCATTTTAAATTTAATTTCTTCAGGTTCAATATATCATTTTTAACACTTCAATATTTTGAATATTTTGTCAACAAAAGTCAATATTTTTATTACTATAACAAATGATTTATAAAATTCATGAGTACAGATAACATAGAAAAGTTAAGAAAAATGGAATGATATGTAAAGAGGAAAGGATTCCTTTCATTACAATAATAGTCCAATCATATTTATTGTAATTTAATTATTTTAGGTAAAAATATAGACATCTCTCAAAATACAGCAGCTCTAAAAAAATCTAAAATCTGTAAATAATAGCTCTTTTGAACTGTGAAACTTAATGTATTGAAAGGTTTTCAAAGCCTTATGTGAGACAACCCGCCTTAAGTCAATAAATTTTTATTGTGTCTTAAAGCACATAAAACTTTCTTGAATGATTTCCAATCAGTTACTCTCTATGGAAACAAATCTTTTCAATTGCCTTTCCAACACTTCCTTTGCTTTTTAACAGGTGCAAATTATATCTGTGTACAAAGAACTCAACAACCATACATATTGCTCTAATTGTACTCCAGAGCTAAAATGGAATAATAAAACACTAATTGCAATTAGACTGTTTTATTTGCTCAGATTTAATTTTATGGCTTGCCCCACTTACAGAATTGTCTACAACCACAAAGCTTACATTTAAATAACACCATTCAATCCATTGACCATAATCTAAAACAATGTTTTCATCAGTCCCTTCCAAACAAACATAATGCATTTCAGATTACAGCCAGAAGAAAAGTCTCTTATATACACAAAAATGACACTCAAATATACAGAAAATCCAGCTTGAAAATTTCAAGTCTCCATTGTCTTAAATTTGTCAAACCCTGACACATTCACAAGGGTACCTGAAAATGTTGTTGTTGGCCAGGTATGAAAATATAGTTGTTAGCCAGGTATGGAAAAAGGATACTATTCTTAACTTTTCCTCAAACAATGTGACCATGACTGTCTCCTGTGCACTTACTGGATGCACAAAGTTTCCCTTAGTTGCACAGGTGGGAAATAAAATGATAAATTTTCACCACAATGCATCACAATATGTTTTTCCTCAAAGAAGGGTACTTCCTTACCTGTTTTACGTCATATGCCAGAAGGACGTATTTTAAATCTGGTGAAACTGAGTATCTTGATGCCTTGAAGGTTACCTTAGAAAAAAGAAGAAGAAACAAAAGAAAGAAAAAAGATAAAGCAATTATCTTAATTGAATAACAGAAAAATTAATACATATATACTTATTACACTACAAATTTATTACTCTCAGACTTGTTACAAATATGCACATCAATGAGTATATCTACGATTACATAAATGAATAGAAAAATTGAATAGGTCAAATTAAGCAATTTGGTAGAAAGAAACAGGCAATATATCATTATATGCTTTCTCCTCAAGGAACTTTATGTCCAGGTACAGTGTAAACTCATGAAATAGCTTCTCAGGAGGTTGAAGCAGGTAGATTGCAAATTCAGCACCAGCCTGGGCAACTTTAGGAGTCCGCCTTAAAACAAAACGAAAGAACAACAAAAAATAAAATAAAATAAAATAGAACTGATTCTGTTGCTCAAAGGTAGACAGTGTGTCTAGCACGTGCAAGACCTTTGTTCAGTTCCCCATATGACCAAAAAAAGGTAGGTAAATACTTTTCTTATTACAAAAAAGGTGCACTAAAACTTTTAAGGAACAAAACATTTTCACATTTGTGTGTTGGGTGAATTAAAAATAAAAGATTTTGACATTCTGTGTGTCATAATTGTCTATGTCTGTGCTTCTATGATGTTTCTGGTTGACAGTATTAAGAATAAGAATTAAATACAGGAAAGGAAACACGGGTAAAATAGATTAAAATATGAATACAAAAATGATTGCATTTGATGCCAGAGAACAAACTACTACACTGTACCCAACTGATATTGAGTCTAAAATTAAAAATTAAACAGAATGATTAGTTCTAGTTACAGAATGATTTTAAAATACAAGAAGAAAGAGAGGTACATTGAGGTGGAGAAATTATTTTATGTGAAATAGAGGTATTTGTCTAATTCATCCCCAAAGAGAAGGCAAGAAAATCCATTTATACATTATCAAAAGACTATAAATACAAACAACAATAAATAAATTATATCAGTAGTTTAAGGAAACTAGGTAGAGAATATGGTGTTTTGCAAAGAAATACTGCAAAGGCATAAATAATTTTATATATAAGGTGCTCTCCATGAAAAACAGAACAGCTAAAGTCATAGTTTCTGCTTTCCTTTCTTTCTTTCACTTGTGATCCTAGAACACAATGAACAGGATAAGAAATTCTGACTAATTAACACTTACAAAGTTTGAGTAGTATAATAAAAAGTGTGTATGTTCTTTCTTCATGTTTGTTGCGCAGAAGTCTAAAATCCCTTGCAATTTCAAAAATTATTTTTAAAAAATGTTATTAACAGCAAACTTTTTCCACAAATGCAAAGAAATATGACAATAAGTTGGGGAGAATTACTTGCAATGCACAGGGCTAATTTATAGCCTCAAGAAGAAGCCAGTCACTGGTTTCTGTCAATCATGTCAGCATAGTGTCAGGATTTTCAACTTTACCCAAGACCACAGAGAGGAGAAGTTTGAGTTCAACCTTCTTGTCAGTGATTTAAACATCAATTCCAACTAATAATGGTTTGATATTAAACATAACAAAACACACCCCACAAAACTGCATATTGACATTTTAGAGTTGGTTTGTGAGCATACTAAATTCCTAGAAGACTGATATTCCTCAGCTCCAAAGAAACACTAACTTCTCTGCTAAGGATCACTCAGGACATTTTCCTGAATAACTATTTAAAAAGTTGTCCTTTTAAATCTTCTATAATAAACTAGTAAGTATAAATATATCTCTTTCCTGAGCTTTATGAGTCACTTGAAAGAAACAGCCTACACAGTAATGGAAATTACCCAACTTATAGTCATACTGGATAAAATACAGGTAACTCTGGCACCTGGAAACAGCTTTAGACATCTGAAATGGGGGTGGATTGTGAAACTGAGTCCCTTAATTTGTGTAGTGCAGTAGTTACTGTTAGAATTAAATTCAATTGTAAGACAATTCATTGATATTTTCAAATAATAAAAAAGAACAATTTAAAAATATCAATTTGCAACACTTCCTTCAATAAAACAGAATAACAATTCTGATACACTGAAAAGAGTTTCCTTCCATAGTCAAAAATGGGCTTAAAAAGAGCAGATATAAAAAACAAAATGAATGAGATCATTTTTAATTTGATGTTCATGTACATTAAGGATAGAGACATAGAACAATAAAAATGCAACTTGCTAGTCAACATCAGGTTACTTCTGGTTATCTTTCATTTTGCAAAGATGAAGGCAGTGGAAACTAATTTCATTTGCATGCCAGTTGGGCCAGCTTATTAGGGAAATCTGTTTTCTCTCATTTGTCTTGGTTCTAACATCATCAAGTAAGCAAGTTAGTTCTTAGTTTGGAACTTTAGCATGATTGATACCATTTTGAATTTAATCTGATCTGTTGGACTCAAGTGCAGGAGTCTTGTGCAAAATTAAAATTATCAGAGCACTAGAATGACCCATGAGCCAGACATGCAAAGGAAACAGAGTGGGTACAGAGACATGCTGTCCAATGACAGCACAGACATTTGGGTATTTTGCCTACATACATTGATTCATGCTTTCTGCATATAACGCATCTTTTCAAGAAGTCAGAGTGGTCACTGGCAAGAATTCTTCCAAATGTTTTATTTTATTTTATTTTTTAGAACACTCATTACAGCAATAATAGAAATGACAACAACAATACTATCAGCTAGCACTTATTCCTCATCTAGTATTTAATCTTCAAGTTGCTAAAAATTTTGTATTTCTCAACAATCATTAGTGCTCTTCAGGAGAATCATGTAAAACATGTGTTCTTCTTTCTTTTTCTATTTCTCTCTTCCCTTGTCTGTCTCTCTCATTAACTCACTGTACACTGAAATTTGACGATGATGCATCTAGGGCCATGACGGTGTCTCTCCCAGCATTGAAGTATAAGAGATGTATCACTCTTTTAAGCAATGATGAAGGGGGACAGTATCAGAAAATCTATTATTATTTTAAAATAGGCTAAAGAGGACAATGCTATCATTTCTGTAGGGATTAAGACACTAATATCATAGTGGTTAAGCTTGTCTCAAGGTTAAGAAAAGCAAAACAATGTTAATTAAGGAAGGTTTTGTTCCATAAGACTTGCATTATCTCACCAACCAATTTTTTTTCCTTCTTTGAGATCATCTCTGTCTAAGTCTGAATTATTTAAAGAAACTCTCACCTCTGTGTCCTTATCCATGCTCATGTGATGCTCTTCACAGAAATTAACCTCACACTTTCACAGGTATGTCTGTATCTCCGGTAACAACATTTTAGTATCTTTTACAGTTCCCACAATTACGCAGTCTGGCACTTTATTAATTATCTCCATCTTTCTCCAGCTTATGCAACACACAAACTGGGACACTTTCCAGGTATCTTTTCAAGGGCCCAATCTGTTGAATTCTCTCTGAATTCAGAGTTGTGTGTAGTTAACTGGTGCTGCAGAGAGACTTATTGGTAATAACTGTCAGAAACTCACTCTGGGAGTTTAGTCAAGGGATACTGGGAGCTCTCAAAATATAATCCGTTAATATTGTCATTCTTTGACTCTGTGGACCTAATTCTTTCCAGCAGCTTCAAGAAACCTCTTTGTCAACAATGACCTTAATTGCAGATATTTGTATAAGTCTGGCTGAGTCTCAACTTGATATATTTTCAAATTAGTGTTTGGGGAAGTTGATTATTTCCAATAACGCTATTATATTACCTGCATGGTTAACAACTTAATTACTACTGAAATGAAAGGAAGCAGAAAAACCTGCTTGGTGTGCTTATTACCAGTATTCAGCAATGATGCATAACAGTGAGTATTTGACCCTTGACAGAGACCAGAGAAGCATTAAAATCCAGGTAAAGCAAGATGAACAGAGGAAATATGCAGGTGGTTTACCAGACCAATTAAACAAGAAAGATAAGACATTTGAAAGAGTTGAAAAACTCATGTATGCTTTCAGATATTCTGGGGACATTCTGTGATAGGCTCATTTGCATAAATCATTCCATTCTACCATAATTCATTCCTTGAATGTTCATTTCATGACCAGCAACACTGAAGACTTCAGATTGGGAAAGAAGGTCCATCACAGTGTTTTCCTTTCCATATTAAGCAAGGTAAGACAAGCAGCATGGCCCTCTACAGCCCATGATAGAACTAGAAAGAAAAGTGTTAAATTAAAATACAATTTTAGAGGCAAACCTTTAAATATATATGGGAACAAACTACTTCCTGGGATTCAAATATGTACAGGGACTACCCACTCCTTGTTAATTTTTGCTAATAGGAAGGAAGAAAATGATAAGAGATTTTAAGAAGAGACATCCACAATTTCATCCATTCAGTTACAATGTAAGAGCTTTATGGCCCATTATTCTCAAGTTAAGTGCAATTATAGAGTATTATGAGAATAACCTTCAGAAAATGTGTAAGTAACTTTAAAAGATTCCTGGAAAGATAGAAAGTGGTGCTACAGATAACTGTTACTATTAACAGTCTTTGCATTATTACCAATAGGAGTGTTGCAGATCTAGTTGCTGTGCATATGAATGATGCAAGTTTTAGCAAAGGAAGGAGCAAAATCCAATTAACATTTAGAATTTTACTTTAGACAGTGATTGGAAATTGAGCCATATCTGATATCTTGAGTTCATGAAATCTGGTTGAAGGCTCTCAGGGCAATTTATCCAAGCAATGTCAAAGTTAAGGAAGAATTGGGAGACTCTAATATAAATAAAACATTTTTTGTTTTATATTAGAAGAACAGAGAAATCAAGGTCTCTGAAGGAGTGAACAGGTCCCTGAAGGACATCAAATAAGAAATGTTCAAAAGCTGCAAGTTTCAGTTATCTGAGAGCCTCGTTTCTCAGAGTTATAAGGAAGATTAGATGAAACTTTATGTTCCATGAGACTCCATCCCTACCTGTAAAGACAAAAGAGACTTCCTCAACCAATATGCCCTACTTCGGTGCAACAACAAAAAGGCAGTAATTAGTACCATTT